GGTTTCAGAATAAAAAGCTTACAGGTAGGTCTGTTAACATTTACGAAGCCAGCTGAAAATAAAGTTACATATGGAATAATTATTTCATTAAACATTTTTTTCAGAAATAAATATAAAATCAGAATTATTTATGATTCACAAATATTATCACTAGTATGCTATTAAGGTGCTGAGAAACGGCGAACTGGAATCAGTTTGGAAAGCGTTCATGAATAGTGAAGTTTAGTCATTTGTGATGGAACAATTAGGGTATGACTACTTAGGCTCACTTATATTTCATCGAAGTAAAGTGAACAACTGCGAAACAGGTACAACTGTGGCTTCAGCCTCGTATGACGTTGAATGATTAAAGTAATGTCAATGTGTAAAGGGTTTCAACGAGCTGCAAGTTTGGAATTGTGTGCGTTTTCAAAATTTCGTAAGGAAAGTAATGTTTAAATGCCACCTGACATTTCTTTGTCATAATCATTTCATTTTTAGAGTTATAACATTTGTATTCGTGTGGACGTACATTATGCATAACTGTCCAGTTTCGCCTGCAAGTGGATTTCTCCATAGCAAGTGAAATCGATTCACGTTCACAGACATGAGTAAGAATGATATTTAACACACGAAACCGGAATGATTACGGTTGGATCGTGACATCCTGCTTGACCACAAGGAGATAAAATTAAACAAAGTGTTCTGTCCTACAGACATGTGTGGATTGCGGTTACCTTCCCACCATCATGTTTGCTGGTCAGTCAGGCTGCTACTTCTCGTTTTGTTCTGTAAGGCTCTCTTACATTGGTGGTGTATATGAATACTGTTTTAATCAAAGCTCTATGTTGGCCATGTGCATACTGTGATTATTGACTTGAGCCACAAGAAATATAAGCAGTGATGGATAGTGATCAGCTGTGAAATCCAGAACGCGAGTTTCGTTTTAAATGAAACTCGTCGGCAAGATGTACCTGCATTTCAGATTTGGTGATCATTCAGAGACCCGAACATACGTCCGAAATTCCACTGCTAGCCACCATTCTCACTTGCTTATAAACTATTCGTGTTAAAATGTACTACAAGTTTGATCTCTGACAAAGGTATATCCACAGAACTCAAAGTATCAATCATAAGTTCGTAATGGCAAATAAATCCTCAATTTCAAGTATTCGACATTTGCTGCTGACCGCATTAGTTTAGATGGATTCACCTAGCTTAAGGCATTGGGTCACGCAACTTCATATCTCTTCGCTTCTGATTTCACTGGATTCGCACGTCTCGATTATAAAATGTAGTACTGGTTTAGGTGTTGTCAAACTGCTGATGCTTGTGGCATCTTGAAGATTTATTGAATTGATGTTGAAGGCCAAATTTTTGCAACAATATCAATGGTTGTGGAGATCAAAAACAGTAAGTTTGTTCAGTAGTTACTAAAAATGAATATGGAGCATAACGATGGGAAACGAGGAAAGCATTATTTGAAATGCAAAATATCAGATTCCAGTGGCCATTCAAGGGTGAATTAATTGTAGTTTGTGACGTGGCCACTTGGTGAAAACCGGTTAGATGCTGGATGGGCCATCGTTAAATTCAGCTTCGTTTTAGTAAGCTCCATCGAGCATGTAGGGAAGTCTGAATTGGTCCATAAAGCACTTTACAGAAGATTTGAACTGAGCAAGCATCTGACTTGATCGGATGTCTACTGGCAACCTATTCTAGATGCTTGCATATTGTGTGACGACGAAAGTTGATTCCAATTCGCTTGATGTTTTTGTTATCTTTGGTTCGAATCCTTGATCAGAAGGTTATAGTTACTATTTCGGAAAATTTTAATTTATCAAAACTTACTGTCTTATATGTATATATAAACAAATATATAAACTATAAAATTTTTTATATGGTCTTATTCATAAAGAATAAAGTTTATCTGCTTTATATTTATATGTCTAATCTGAGGGAAAACACGGCATACAATTTACAGCTTACAACCTATTAGACGATTTCGTCTTCGCAGATGACCCAGCGAATCTTTCTGTTTGGACATTCGACTGAGAACAGTATTGAAGAGATTGTAGAGGCAATATGCCGTTTTCACTGCAAAACAGTTTAAAAGCAGATGACATATATTGAGTGCTGTTGTCAGTCATCTAGATCTGTAGAACCCCAAAACTATCAAACAATCCTGACAATTTTCTTGTCGTACTCTCTGATGTCGTTTTCGGCATGTCGTATACTTCTAGCCATGTTGTGAAAGCATCGAAAAAAACCAAGTATTTTCAGACTTGTATTGGTTTGACGAAATCAGCGCATATCGTTTGCCAAGGATCATCCGGTTTCGGCTATGTTTATGGATCAGCTTTCGTTAGATTCTTTGCATCCACCAGACAGGACTGACAACTGCGACATTTTTGTTCTATAACATGCTACATTGACGACCAGTATGCATTGAGTTGATTGCAAATACATTATTTTTATTTTGGACTGAACGTTCCCAAACACATGTACTCAGACTTTTCGTTATGAAGAGGGAGAATCCATGCATCGCATCAATTTTGGAGTTTATCCAGATAATTTTGTATAGTACAACTTGCGTTTGAACTGGGACGTGTGTCGGATGCATGTACTATTTGAAGATCGTCAACAAATAGAAGCGTTTTGCCAATTGTAAAGCAGCTGCTTATGTTTTTAACGTACGAGATGAACAATAGAGCTCGGATGACTGAGCCATGGACGACACCACAAGTAGTGTTGTGAGGGTTGGAGAAGTGGTGCTCTAGTTACAATCGCCGGGTTCGGTTTCTTCAGATGAATGAGATTCGTTTATGCAGTTTCTCTGCTATGCCAAGACTTTAATTAAAATACTCGTGTTGTACTTTATCAAACGCTTTAGTAAAGTCAAAGTATAGAATAACAACTAGCTTCCCTTCATTCCCATTGCATATAATATAATCAAATTATTCTAAATGACGGGATATTTAGATGGTGAATGGAGGTAGTCAATAGGAAACCCTGGACCTGGGTTTCGTGCTACTTGGCACTCGTCAGCAAGGTGAACCTGTAATTTTGAGGGAACCGGTGCTCCTTGGCCGATTCGATCTCGTGTCACCCAGCTTCACAGTCACAGACGAGCCGTGACTAACCTCCTGTAAGATTGAGATGTAATAACAATTGATTGATCACTGGGTGGTGATTAATGTCTTGCTTGTCTAGTCCTTGTTAGTGCAGGTCGAATGCTATCGATCATGTTGCAATGTGGCCACCAGTCTAGGTGACTAGACACTGTGGGCACTATGTATTAAAATCTAGATGGTGGTTGAAGGTAGTCAACAGGAAACCCTGGGCCCGTGTTTCGTGCTACCTGGCACTCGTCAGCAAAGTGTACCTGTAATCTTGAGTGAACTGGTGCTTCCTAGTGGATTCGATCTCGTGTCACCCAGCTTCACAGTCAGAGACGTTTTCGTATAGCAACTCACATGTATTCCTTTAGAGTGAAGGGATAATCAAATTAGATAAATCGCAAACCAATCGACCGATTGAAATATTGTTTTTTTCGATGTTCATGCAATTGAGATTTGCGAAAGATTCTTTACATTAGGTCAATGATCTTTGGTTGCTCCACGGCAAATATCCTATAGCAACTCACGTGTAATTGAGTTTCTTCACAGTTAAGTCGGTTAAGTATTTCGTTTATTTAACGGACCGAGTCATCCAAACACCAACAACTTATCTATAGCATTGTATTTTTACAATATTTGCGAATGTACGAACATGTTTGCTTCAGCATTGCTTACTACCTACACATATATTCATCCTGCTAGCCTCGCTATTAGTTGCATAATTGATTCCATGATTTATTCATTTTCCTATGAATATATGTGTATATTTATATATAAATTTATTACTATACACAGTCAACTCACTGACTCACTCATTCATCTCTCCGATTTGTGGTCTGAGCTATCCGCTAATAGAACTGTAGTCTCTCTGCACTATCCACTAATACGCAACGTATCGTCGTACTTGGCACAAATCCCTGCAGCACTGTCGTTGTGATTTATTGAATTAAGACGCGGAGATCACACGATGCCTTTTTGACCACAAATACGAGCAATGTTGAGTCTTGTAGAATTAATGGTCTACTATTAGTACTGCTCTAATAGTAGACCTAATCGTAAATCTTTGGATTTCTCATGATATGACTGCCTAATCTATAAGATCTTACGTGGAAGTCACACCATCGACTACACCAACTCACTGTATCGTATCAATTTAACTAAAACGCTCAATAATGAGCTCGTTTCATTATCGTATCTGATCTGTTTATTGCAAATAATTTCACTATATGCCGGTGAACCATGGCTTTAATGTTGCTGTCAAGCCCATGCGCCAAGAAACTCCACCAACTTTACGTATGAACGGAGAAATATAGCAGTCGCAGCTTAACAAGGAATTGAAGACGCTTAAATTTCCCGTCAGCGAGTTGATAGCAATGGTGAAAGTCATTTGTCCAATAGACGCAAAGTTAACTCGTAATTGGTGCTGTCTGTATTCAGCTGACTGACCCAAGTGCTTCAATCTACAATATGAGTTAGTAAATTTTTCGTCTAGTGAGACTTAGTTCCATTGGCAAGAGTTATAGAATCAATTGTACATGGCCATATCAGTTCAGATTCAAGTTCAAATTTCCCTTACCAACAAGTACTGGGTTCGAAAAGATGATGTTCACTAATTACTAATTTCTGCTCAAGACACTCAAACGTAGTTCAATAACCTCCTTCTCGTTGTACCTTTATCACATCATTACCACATACAATCTTTGACTGTTATAAACTAGCTGGTTTGTTGTACATTATTATGTATGACAAAAAATAATGAAGAAATTCAAAAGTTATAGTTTATTATACTGACTGTATTTTTCAAAAATATTATCATGGCTGTCAACAACAAGTTGGAATCCAAAGCTTGATGGCAATTTATTTCTTATCTGATAATAACAATAATTTGTGTTTGCTTCAACTTTACATAATTCCTGGATGCATTCTAGCGACTTCCTCAATCGATCCAAATTTCTTTATCAAATCCCTTAGCTTGATCATGTCAGACCGTTGATTCATCTTAGGGTATGGTTTGTTAGCTGGTACATCCACATTCAAGAATCTACACAATGGTTCCCAACCATCTCCAAGTCGATGTACCAGAAGACGTTCGGATGGTATATTTTCTTGGAGAGTTTTGATATGGTTTTCGTAACATTCAAGTAACATTGCATCATCATCAAAATCAATATCTTCCTTCTGAAATGCTAGTTTTAGTGAATCAGTAAGAAGTTTATCCCATTCAATTGGGACTCCTGCCAGTCTTTTCGCTTCCTCAAATTGCTTTTTACTGGGGTCATCTGATTTTGGCATTATAACTTGCCTGAAGCTGTCCAACCAATCGTCTTTATCGCGGACTGTTATTACAACCTGTATTAAACGAAATATGTGGCATGTGAAAGTATTTTCACTATAGAAATAACACACTTCCAAAGTCATTCAAATATGTATACCGAAACAGTATTTCGGTCACTTTTAAAAATCATGTTTGTTTTGGCGATTGAGTAAACATTCGTGTTAACTTCACTCTCGAACTTCAGTGTTATAAGTCCCTAAATATTAACTCGCAGTACACGAGTAAAAATATCTATCACAGTTTTACAGAGTTAAGACATTCGCGAAATTTGCAATGTTTAGCTTACAAATAGAGTAGCTTCAGTGCGGTGTTAGTGAGCCCTAGAAATGTCACTCACGAGGCTGGATATTTTCGATACCGATTATCGTTTAAGTTAGTGAAGATTGACACAGATTAATCAGTCATACACAATGAAATGACGTGTGCGGTTGTGCATCTTCCACTCAGTTCTTATGTCTTTTCCAATAACACATTTCTTAAGCAATATTCAGCTTGTTCTATACAGTCATCAAAGTAAACTCTGCACCTCGATATCACAGTAGGCTGACTAAGGTCAGGCATCAAACTGAGGTGGGAATTCGGCGTCATATAAGTCACACCATTCAAGTATGACTTTAATAACCTCAACATCGACATTGATGGCCGACATTGGTGGCTGAAGAGGCTGTTGAGAAGTGACTAGGATTATATTTGTCAATTCATGAAGTTCGAAAATCCCCTAACTAATAATTCTTTTACCAAGTTACATCTCAGTTGACTTAGTTTACCCATCTTCGTTTGCCAAATGAATAAGTCATTGAATTTCCCTGTACTTTAAAGTAAAATACTGTGTGAATAAAACAGGTGGCTAAGGTATAGAAAAAATATCAGATGATGTGATACCTGTTCTCAAACGTTGCGATATATTTCCATGTAATAAATAAGAGTTTCAGAAATATCAGTAATTTGAATGAATGAAATCCAGAGATTATAAGCATCAGCATGATCAAAAATCAACCCACCTTTGCATAAGGATATGCAGTGATAATTTCATTTGTACGATCAAAATACGCATGTATTGAACAATTATCAAAAAAAGAACATATAATAATATAACCGTTATCTTACCTTTGCATATGGATGTATATTCATCAGCTCTCTGTAGAATGCACATGATGGAACATCAGTCACAGCTACATAACAATCCAATATCTCACTCAAATATCTATGTATTTTCTCCACACGACGTGCCGTTCGTACCTCGTCGACAAGCATTTGCCATTTGGGAATGTCACGTTGTCTTCCGGTCATAATTTCGAAACCATGATAACAAGGTTGAGAGAAGATCGTTTCCAATGCTTTTTTCATACTCATCGTTCCCGTTCTTGGTAGACCAGCTCCAATAACTAATAATGATGTTGGAGAATCCCACATAATTTCAACTGTGAAACGAGATAGAATTTAAAAACAAATAGACAAGGATCAGTGCATCATCATGTTATACTTAAGTTACAACATCAATCTCATTTTACCGATTAGTGAAACTTATTTCAAACTATTACAATAACCGAAGAAACATTCCACACAAATCAAATGGATATATACATTTAACCATGATCACTATTGATCTATGTAATCTGTAATTCATGACAAACGTTTCATCATACTTATTCATGAGAGTGGAGAATAAAAATAACCACAGAACATAACAAATTAAGAACGTTCATTATTTCTAGGATATCTATCAGCATATTACATTGCAAATTAATATCTGACTACGCAATCGGTTGTTGAGAAACTTATATATGAAGAATAATGTTCAAACTAGACTAATTTGTATTGAAATAGAGGGCGTTACCGACGAAAATGAATGAAAGAAGTGTTAATAATAAATCACGGTAACTTCAAAGTGAGAAAAAGCTATTTTTGAACACAATGAGTTATTTTGAGTCTTTTGATAACCAAAACGTAAACATAAAAATGAATTTGACCCAGACAGCCACAACGTAATTACGTGCTCGGATGACAATACAAAAGGATGACCAAAGTTTATCGAAATGTGTCAATGAGAAATCGGTACTACTACTACTACTACTACTACTACTACTACTAGGAAAAATACGAACAAATCTCTTCCTAATGATAATGATGAAAATTCATTTCACTTTTACCGTGATAATTACGTATCGAATTGACCATCTTTTAAGCTTTCTGTATTTGTGATAGAAGCCCTACTTCTCGGATTTGATTTCTCCGTTGTACATGACACGATTTCTGATTTATCGATAGATGATCGATTCGGAAGTCTCTATGATTGGTTGCTCCTTGTTATCTCAACTGCTACAGATAAGGGAAGTTGGTATTAGATGAAGTTAATAGTTATTGCGCTCCATTTCCACGGTCCTTGAATACCGGAACATTTCGAATTCTAAACATTTCAACGCTGTTTTACCTAATGTATATCGGTAGTCAATTATTCCATTACGACCGATTTTATCTATGCGTGCTTCTCCTACAAATAAACTAGCTGAATATTAAGTAAAATTGTTGAGCCCGATTCTTAGTAATTTGTGAAGTTTTCCTTAAAAGATACATTTCTATTGACTGATATTGTTGGAGACACTAATATCAAAGAAAAGGCTTTGCATTTATTTCATGTAAACTCTCATTTTACGAATGTATCGTTAACTTAGGTTATGGATCGTCTTTCTGATTATATATTTGCAACAGATTAGGTACTTCCTCAAATATTCTTGCTTCATTTCTCACTTTTTGTATCTCGCAAGCAAGTAGCAAACCATGAGCGATAGTTGTAGAAGTAATTGAATGCTACAAAATCAGATGACAAGCTAATAAGTGAAGAGGCATGCATGGACTGTCGTCGATTGATGACAGAGTTAGTGGTCATTGATTGTAATTCAAGGCTTGAGCGATTTGGAAATTCTCCCTTGGGCTGCGCAAACAGAACTACGGTGTTTTTGATAGATAGGTTAATCGAGCCAACGTTGCTATGGAGGTCAAATCTAGGGGGGAGCTCATGTAACAGCTTGGATTGATTGGTTAAGAGTTGACATCAAACAACTAAGTATATATCGAAACAATAGAGTTCAAGCATTCATTCACTCCCTTATTTTCTATAGACATTATATTTCCGATTATCATATATTGAGTGTTGAGAGACTCTGTTTGTCTGAACGTGGAATCTCAAGCTCCACTGTGACTGCGCGAAGATCTAAATAAAACCCATTCACTACTGGTCTAGTTTCTGCTAACGATAGCACGATAGCTAAGCACAGGAATGGAATGTCTACTAATTTTCCCCTTTTTCCTATTCGGTCATCATTGTTGAAATAATTACTTCAGTTTTGTACTGCAAGTGTTCAGTTCATGTTTTAAGGTGGATATTTTTGACAAGTTGCTCTGGGAAGCACCTTGGGGCATCTCTGATCTGATGTATAATATATGTCATAGGTTGAATATATGACGAGTGAGCTCATAAGCAAAGCAACTTTGTATCGAATATACATGGATGATATACAACTTCTCTGTGATAGAGATTTTGAAGTTTCCCAGTTATTAGATAAAATCAACAGGGTACAAAACAATATCTTCATAACTTACAAAGCAGAAAATAATGACCACCTGTTTTTTGGATACATACTTTAGAGCCTGAGAAAGAATGGTAATATAAATCAGTCAGTTTACTGGGAACTAATTTGGATGGGCCAATACTTAAACTTCCACAGTTTCTGCCCATTGTAATACAAGGGATGCTTGAATACGTGTCTCTTTATCAAAATTCAAATAATTTGCACCAAAGATACGGTTAAAAAGGATGAAAAGTTGCTGACCAGCGCAATAATATCAAATGATTATCCACTCAAGTTTGTTAATATGTGCAAAAGTCGATGAAATCCATTACCTCTTGTTTATTCGGTTGCAAGAAAAACGTTTATAACTATCTGATATGTACAGGTAAATTCAATAGTACACTTTTATTACTGCGATTAAAAACAGCCATGGAGTAGATCTATTATGCCTCTCAATTAGTTGTGATTGAAAGGTCTAAGATCGTGATAATAAATAGACCTAGATAATCCATAAATGAATACGCCACATCAGATTTTATTTGCCAATATACACGCTTGTGTGGACACACATACATCAAGCGGAAAAATAGAACAATGCAATCAGGGGTAATTAAATATGTACTAAGAAGGCTTCAGAGATAATTAGTGTCAAATGATCCGATCAACGTGGGAGGTGGAAAACCATGTTCATCGATAGCGAAACGTACAATTGAAACGACGCACAAAATTGACATTATTGGGGCTTTGAAAACGTTGTCAACTACAGATTCGTAAATTTGAACGTCTATTATGTGCGAAAACAGTTTGTCGTGACCTTAAATTTATCATGATTATCCCTAACGCATCTTATGGCCTGGAATAATGCAACAATTTCTCTTTCTTTCTATACAATTTAAATTTTATTTTTCCCAATCATCACCTTTTTATTCGAAATTCCACTTCATTGAACCTTAATACATTGGTATAAAAAGGTCGCAATAAGCCTATGTGTGACAAGATTGTTCAAAATGTATGGCGCAAATACATCACATTTTTCCGAACAATAGCGTATTCTCAGTAAACTATCGAGAACTGTCAACGTTTCTCAACAGGGTTTATTTCGTCTCTCAGATATTCGTATTAGCGACCTTGGTCCTTGTGTTCATGTTGGCTCGTAATATCTCAGTTAGTTTGTTGGTTAAGAGGAACGTGACAGATAACAAGACAAATTGTATCATTCATTGTTTCGTTTGTTTCCACTCATTGATGATGATCTACATTCCTGAACTGAATGGACAATCCTTTTGATTGTGGGAAAAGTGAGAGACGATAAGACAAACATTTTTTATCGTTTTTCGTCTATTTTCATTCATTGATAATAGTCTACATTCCTAAATTGACTAGAAATA